AAAAAATTACTGAAAAGATCCCATTTCGAAAACTTCCGATTACATTCTGTTTAACATTAAAAGCAGTGTTTATGATTAGAAATTCTCCCATACCAAAATAAAAGGAAATGAAGAAATACTAAAGAGGAATAACACATCTGAACTCACTATTCAAATTCCAGTTCATGAAATGAAACAGATTAGGTCCCCTAATCCCCCGTCGCTCTTTAAGAGAGGGAGTATATAAGGTACTTCTCCCTCCTTCTTAGCATGCCTTCAGCACACTCGGCGCATATTCGACAGGTTCGAGTCAAGGCGAGGGTATGGCTCATTCCTGCTTCGAAATAACCTAATGTCTCTACAATGTTTCAAATTCTTGCCACCAAATATTATCGGCATGTATTGTATCTAAAGATGCTGAATAAGGAAGAAGCTACATGAATATATGTAAGTTTCTCGTACTGTGGGGGAAAAAAACACTTGTACCTAGAATCATCGAATTTTGAATAACATTGTCCTCCACCCGAACAAGGGCACCCGGAAGCCCGAATTTGGAATCGCAAATTTATTTGATTTTGTATTTCATATTTTGTAAAACTTTAACGACTTTTTGATTAAAAACCTCAACAATTCCAATGCGGGCAGTGGCACCACTGTAAAGAATAAGGTTTTTTTATCTACAGCGCGCGAGACTGTCTATCGAAAATTTTAAAGATATGCTGTTTTTAAATATTTTTATCACAATGCGGTATTAGACCAAATGCTCTCGAAACGTGTATGTGTCGGTAAATGAAAAAAAATGCCCATTTGAACGCAATATAAAATCTGAAAGCTTTTAGTTTTGAAGTGTTCAAAGTACAGTGTGCTTTCGATTATCCAAGATGATACCGAGGAAGGTCACGAATAACTGAAAAACACGGGTAATCCAAACTATCGAATTTCCTATGCATATTGTTATATGTTGACAAACAACTTTGTTTTGTTAAAGAACATTGTTGTTATTTTTCCAAAAGAATAACTTTGTTTTTGAGAACACTTAAATATCTGTTGAATTTCACTGCGTATTTTTCGAAGTGCTATTTTATCATTGTTTTCGAATCCCCTTTGGGCGACGAAGACCAATATAGTTTCGCAGAAATGATTTCTGTCTCTGGAGTAATCTGTCTGGTCTAATTTCATTCCTAATTTAACTGTTAGTATCTTCTTTGCTTGTATTTTCAGTATCACTTTCTGCCTTTTCTATCCTTGTGAGATTTGAACCACCATCCGCATCACTCCAGCAGCTCTGAAAGCCCGGCTCATTCGAATCTCCATCGAACCATTCCTCGATGTTTTCCCGATCGCCACTTTTGGAGAATGATTCGTTTCCAATTTTTTGGCAAGTGACATCAGTTAAGCCTCGGCTTCTTCACAATTAGTTAATTGTCTGATTTCTATATTAGGAAGAGTTTTTCTCCGTGATCGGATTTGGCAAATGTTTATCTTTTACACACTTCACACATAATGTTGAGTGCGCGTGCGTAGGCACAAATAATCCGTAAGCCTCGATAAACCGCGTACGGATAAACGACAGTACACTGTACTTCATTTTTTAAACTGATGTAGATATTACAAATTATTTAACAAAATGATACCAAAATTTTAAGAAAAATCTGAGATGTTTGTGCTTAAGAATATGTGAAAAAGCAAAAATAAATAAATAAATAAATAAGAGTAAGTTAAAGCAATAACATGGCTTTACGTAATCAATATTTATTTGTACATCATAATTCTCAGCGTAATCCACGTTATGTCAATACAACAATGTACAGACTCATTAAGAACATAAAAACTCTCTCAGAGACGACTTATGGACACGGAACAATACACAAATACATTAGCCTTCTTTTTATATATTAACTCTGTAAATCAATAATAAAATTTTCCCCATTTTCATTGCTGTTCGCTACGAAAGCGATGCTTATTGCACGTTACTCGTAACTTCGTAATAAGAAAAATCAGCATTTCTAAATGACAGCTTTTACTGAAGTAATGATAGTTCGTTCGGAGATGGTAAGAATTAGTTGGTTTCTTCCTCGCTGTTTCAGTTAGATAGCTTCTTTTACTCTCCAAATTTTCGTCACTTCATTTCAGTTTTTATTCAGTTCGAGTGATATAGTCACAGAAGAAGAAGATGAGATCACATATTTTTAGTGTAGTTACTCATAATTATTCCTTTATTTTTATACATTCAAAAACTCATACGAAGTTTGAGGTGATTGTTGGTATTTACATTCTGTTAACTGCCTTATCTGTAAGATGGTATCATTCTGTGTATAAAAAAAGAGTAATAAATCCAGGATTCATTTTGAATATCTCTGGTATCACAAACATGAATCAAAGAGATGCAAGCTTCATTTCTTTATATAACAGCAGTTAATGACAGCCGTAACTGAAGTCTGTTATGCAAACTTTTCATTATTTGTAATTTGCTCAAAAATGTTTTAGATTTCTTTTTCATTATTTTCTTAAATTCATTTTATATTTGAATTGATTACTATATTTAATTGTTGGATGCAAAAGAATGTAACTATATCCTATGCTGTGGTTTTAAATTTGGTTCTAAAATTTTCGCATTTGTTTGAATTCCAAATTTCGCTATGGAAAGAAATTTATTGCTTTGTTACTAAGAGACGTGACAATTTAGAAAACTATTATTGAAACAATTTTTTTTATTTTAAAATTTTGTAAATTATTAAAATGAAATTTTGTTAAATAATGCTAATTTGACTATGGTTATTTCACTTTCCGTTGCTTCCGCCTTTTATTGTAATAATTTAAAAATATTATTTGGAAATCGGTTACTTAACTTACTTTTGATACATTTTTCTTTTTGCCCCAGAGCTGGGAAATCTAAAATCGTAAATAAATCGGTTAATTTTTTTTTTTTTTCATATAAAACGATGAAGTTTACCTTACTATAAATAACGTTATTTCAAGCGGCATGGGAAAGTCAGACTTCATAATTTGTAAATAAGACTTTTGACCATAAAGATATCAAAGCTTTTTTAACTCTTTCATGACGAAGTCACCCGAAACGCCCGTGCATTAGACACCGGCAGGTGGCCAAAACGCATGCGTTCATTTTCTAGCTGATGCTGTCCTATCAAGTTAATTCATTACTCATTGGTTTTGAGAGTTTTTGAATGACGTCTCTTTTCTTTAGCGTCAACATTTAGCTACTGATACTCGCATTTGCAATCCTATCCGAAGAGCAAATTGCGCACAGTGGATGAAACCAAAGATCTTCAAGATAGAAATAATTGCTTCACATAAGTAGGTTATTGTTAATTGTGTAACATTAACCTACTTATGTGAACTACTTATGTTAACTATTTGTCGAACAAAAATCCGTATACACGGGTGTTTCAGATGTTTGACAGGGACAAATTTTGTCCTCCACCGATATGAAAGAGTTAATTTAATTGCTTCCTAATTACAGCAGAGTGCTTTCCATGGTTGCGTAATTCCCATACTACATTTTTTTCAGTTTAGTTTTTTCAATCTTATCAAAATTAGCGAAACATAACCTTACGGAATTATGTCATTAAAGAAAAGCAATACTGAAATCTTCTTTACATCCTATCTTAATTATTTCACTCATATATTTAATGGTTACAAAATTGCAAAATTCCACCATTTATAATAATCATAGATTACATTCAATACGCAAAGAAACGTTATTCATAGAAATATTATCCATTAAACTTGAGAATTAGATCCATTAAAATCTATTTTCTTTATTTTAAGTTTTATTATTTCCATTATTTTAAATTTTTGCTCTCTCTTAATTCTAACGTTACATTTATCAATTAACTTATTTTTCGTGTTCATTTTGGACTTACAAAAATTGAATTATGTTCCACCGATACTGCAGTTTCAAACGTTTATCCGTTTTGTACCTGCTATGATGTTGCTCTAAGGCATTGCAGCTTTAATCACTTACAAGTGGGGACAAAATTTCAGCTGTGAGAGATGTTGACATTCAGAGGTGGAAAGATCTTCAGTTTTATGGATGTCAAACTGCTAATTCCGCGAGGATAATTTGAGGAAAAAGACTTTTACTTTTAGATTATAACTGCATAGTGTGATAGACTGGAAGCTTCCGAAAGAAGCCTGGCAATTATTACGTCTATCATGAGTCATAATAACTACTTTGCCTTTGAATGCGTTAATTCAATCACTCCCACTGTATTTTCGATTTCAAATTGAGACGTTTTATCTTTAAAGAGAAAAAACGCTTAGTTTTTGAGCCTAAACTTGTACACCAACGTCGTTTTCAAAACAGAGTTTTAACTGCAGCAAATGATAAATAAGGTTCAAAATGTCAAATTGCTTTTAAATAACTCTCTTAATTCTTTTAGAGGATTAAAGATTTCTTTATTTTCTCCATCAAAATCATCCTAAAGTGGTGAGAACAGCCTGTAATTATCTTACCTATGCAATGATAAATCTCCGTGGCAAAGAACAGTTCTTTCTTTATTTTTTTTTTTTTTTCAGCCTATAGAGGCGTTAGCCCAGAAGGGCTATTAATCACGAAACAGCATTTTGCGTCGTTTTTCTAAAAATGTCCCTTTTACTTTTCAAATTGTTGTCGCCAAATATTATCGCTCTGCATTATTTAAAAAAAAATTAAATAATGAAGAAACTGCATGAAAGTATGCATATTTCTTGCATTGTGAAAAAGCAACGATACCTAGAGGCATCAAATTTTGAGTAACGTAGACCTCCAGCCAAACATGCGCATCTGGAAGCTCGAGTCTAGATTTTGGAATTTGTTTTATTATCTCTTTCATAGTTTTTAAACTTTAAAGATTTTTTGATTGAGAAACTCAACGATTTCAAAGCGAGCAATGGAAACACACTATACGGAATAAAATATTTTTATCGCTAGCGCGCGAGACTGGCTATCGGGAATTCTAATGATATGCTGTTTTTAGCCCAAATGTTCTCGAAACGTTTATGTATGGGTAAATTAAAAAAGCGCCCCTTGGAAGAAATACAAAATCTGAAAGCTTTCAGACTTTTTTTTTACTTTTATAATTTTAAATACTTACAACGTTTGTTTTATTTATTTTACTTTTAGAAATTTTGCTTGTTGTAAAAATTACTTACAGTGCAATTACAGTTACAATTATTTTGTACAATACATTTCTGTTCCTCAAACAAATAAAGTTACAAGTTTTCTTACATTTACAGTTCAAGTTCTATATTCTTTTATGAGCTTTCTGAAAGCATAAGGTTTTAAAGACCGCAAAGTAAACCGTTCTGAGGTGGAATATTGTTTCCAAAATGTATAAGTAATTTTAATTATACATTTTTAGTAGAGTACAGAAATGGTTTATACACACTTGTGCAAACATCTTTTACTTATACTGCTGATATTCACTATAACATTTTTTCATTGTGGAAAGCACCTGCATTTTTATAATAATGCCGTTTTCCTTTTCTAGTTAGTATCAAAGGTTTAAACATACACACACACGAAATAATAATTATTATAAAAATAGTAATAATTATTTTATTTACGTTTAAACTTTATATCGTTTTGGAACTTTTAAGGAGATTTAGTTGTGGTTTACATAAACAGCAAACATTCTATGCAAGTTAAAAAAAAATCTCAATAATTTCAGCTTATTATAAAAATTATGTAAAAATTTAACTGTAAACTGATGTTAACTTTAGAGTCAAGCTGGAAGCATTTCAAAATAATCTGATACACATATTCTCTTCGAAGAGCTTTGCTTAATAATAATGAAACCTCTACTAGTAATTTAATTCGTAAATAATTCATTATTTCGATTCAGACGTTATTACCTCAATTCTTGAAAACTGTGCCATTTGTTATTACATATATATAATCTAATCACGATTATTTTAATTCGGATTTCTCCTCTATAATAGAATATTTCAAAATTCTTAAATCCAAGCTATAAAGCAGTGATAAATTAGATACTGATAATCTCAAAAATCTTTTGTAGCTTTTAATATAATTCATTTCAAAGTGCTTATCTTTTACGTCACATACTGGAAAAATTGAGGACTCCAAGTCTCTTTTGTATAATCAACATTTCATGATGCTCTTTTTCGAACGTGAACAAAACGCTGGTAAAATAGTTATATGACTGTCTCGATTTAGTTAGATTTTTATGCACTTCGATGCGATAAAGAGTCAGATCACATAAGACTGCTTGACACGTTCATAGAGAAATTCTCATTCGTATAAAATATTAGATCATCCAAAATGGCAACTCATCGTTGGGGTCGCATATGTTACGGGCTTTCATTTTAGCTCTTTTGTCGTTGATAATAGTCTTTCATAAATTTACATCCGGCATGAGATCAGAAAAATCGTAACATTCTGTGTAAATTATACATACATGAGTTCTGTTGGATTCAGTTTCTTTTTCTCAGTAAAAAATTACTGTTTGAAGTTATCACAAAATGGCAACAATTCTATGATGAGTTAACAGCACACACACACACGCCATACAGCAGGCTAGAAGAGTTCTTGGAATGATGTCAAAGGCAAAGACTCGCCGCCGGGCGAGACATGGCGGGGGACTAGTGACGTCATACCGGGATTGCCCTCATAATCCAGGACGCTTGGGGCTGCGGGCGGCGGCAGTGAAGAGGCGTGGGGAGGCTCCACACCCATGCCGGATCCGCCCCCGCACGGGCTGGGCTCGGAGAAGGAACTGGTTGCGCCCGGACTGCTCACGTGTGGAGGCTGCGAGGATTGCTGAGGATTCTGGGAACTCTGGCTGCCGGGCTGGTGATCCACCTGCCTCAGATTGTTCCGACGCCACTTGGCTCGGGCGTTCTGAAACCATACCTACAATGAGGCCAGAGGTCAACAACATAGTTTGGTGAAAGGAAAATATATGTATATACATGGAAAGTATTCTGTTTATTTAATTAAAATTTTAAATTTCAGTGTCAATGCAGAAAAATTTAAACAATGTTTAATTTCAAAGACGCAGAAAGAGTGTGAAAAAGAAAAAAGAGATAAAACTTAAGTACAGCCAGTTACCTGATTAATCGGAGCAGATAAATCAGTTTGAGAATAAGCCGATCCCTATCTAAAAAGAACTATCTAAAAAGAAAATGCTATTTGTTTGTTGTCATAGACAATTACATAGTGAACGCTTGATTAACGGGAATGGATTAATCGGATTGCGGATGCAACTGACTCTGTCTTAAAGTTTATTTATTGTATAAGGATAGAAAAATTGCTATCAGAGTAAAACAAAGCTGTCTATGGAAAGCACAAAAAAGAAAGAAAATTCATCAGGTAAAAGCAATGAGAGTAGATGATATTCTAGCTCTTGGGAGTTATTTTTATCCACAGCAATATGTAAAGTAATTACACGTAATCCTAAATTGTACAGAGAAAAATATTTTAACTGCTTCGTTTATAAAAGTTTGAATTCAATGACATTGTTCAAGTTCGGTTGTGAATATATTGGTCTCAAGTGCCATTTATAACTTTCCCTCCTAATTTAAAAGATGTTTATTTTTCTGTTATTTACAATGTGTTTTTTTAATGTTGATTTAATATGTATGGATAAAAAACCTATTTTCCTTACTAAAAAGCTTGGAAGTGCTTGCAAATAAAGTAAATATTTAATAATAACCTTTTATTAATTTTAATACGGATTTCTTGCATTTCTGTGTTTTTATAACAGCCTTGGATTGGCAGTTGAGTTTACTGTAGGTCCTAGCCCCGATCTTACTCCAGTTAATCGGGTTTAACAATCGGGATCAAGGTAAAGTCAGAAGAAAGTATATTTCAACTTCTCGTCGGTGTTGGTTACATAAAGAAGCTATATGTGGTCTTATGGTGGATAACTCTTAATCAAGGAAAAAAAAAAAAAAAAGGGGTGCGAAAGAATACTTTCTTTAGGGCGGCTAAGGAGAGTGCTTTTTCTTCCTTGGAAAAAAAGGTTCAAATTCAGGTTCAAAAAAAGTTCAAAAAAAGGTTCAAAAAAAGTTGAGCGCAATTTGGAGCGCAATTCCAAATAGGAGCAAGACAAAGTTCGAGCACCATGTCCAGTAATCTACCAAATACGTAGAGATTTTCGATGGAAGCATAGTGGAACCAAATGAAAGTAGCATTATTAATAAATTGCTTCCTTTCACTCCGAAGCTTGTTTTTATGTTTCATGACTACTAAATTTGAGATATTTTCTTGGTATCAGTTTTAGCTTTTACTTAAAAGTATGAAAACTCGTCATTTACTATATATTATAGCAAAGTTCATCTTTAAGTTAATCAGTGGCAAATAAGTTAAAATCTACCGAAATGTGACAGTTTCTTTCCAGAAATGATTCCAATAAATATCTACTGAGTTCATTTCGCATACTGCTTGAGTGAGGACAAATCAGTTGCTTTATGGGGGGCACAGGACCTTTGGGCTCGTCGAAACGATAATAAAATCCTCATACTCGAAACACAAAAACTCATATTATATGATTAAAAGGTTATACTTTTTTTTACTTTATACCTTAAATAAATATGCTTTATTAGACTGTATATGAAATGAAAATTGTAAATATATAAATAATTTGTAAATTTTAAATTTTAAAATGTACATAAGAGACATGTAAATAAAAATTATCAAATGTTGCGCGCATCATAAATTTGAAAATATTGCATATAGAAAACAATTTTGGGTAAAAATTTATTCGAAATACATTCACCTCTAATGCAAAACCAAATATATTATAAAATGAGTCTTAAATTTGAAAAATTAAGAAAAAATATTTTAATTTAAAAATATGTAATTTTTTATCATTTTTTCAAGGTAAATATATGTAAATGACATATGTAAATTTTTTGGTTTTAGCATGCAGAGTAACAACAGTAGCATACACAGTTAAATTTTTATGGGCATAGCATATATGGTTTGATAATAACACAGCGCGCAAACTTGAAAATTACCAATTTGAGAAAAATCCAATTTAAAGATACAATATCACTTTTCTCTAATTTTTTTTTTTTCAAAACAAATTTTAAATGCACCAGAAGCTTAAACTACGCCTTCATTTTATTTATGAAGCTCATCAGCTTCCTTTTTTCTCCTTCTTTTGGTAATTCGAGCCTTTAAAGGTTTGTTCTGGGCTCGTTTCTGTGCGAATTTAATACGAATTCTATTTGCTTCTTCCGCAAATGCTACACAGTTAACTCCAAGTATACATTCTAATTCTTTCATGATGAACAGCGTTGCCTGTTTCCCATCATTAAAGTTAGCTACTGCTTAATTTGCAGAAATTTTTACAATTTTCCTTCCAATTCAAGATTCCACCGTCTCAAAATTCTGCCGCTCGAGGCAGCTGACCCAGTTGTTCCGGCTCTGATGTCAGACCTGACATCAGAGCCTTGACATCAATGGATGTTTAATAATACATGGCGTCCACGAAAATCCTGATGTGGCCTTTGAAACGTGAGTCACAGACATATACTTTCAGTTAAAATGTTTTACCTGACGCAAAAGATTCACATTTTGTAATTTTTAGATTGAAGTCATAGGGTTCCAACCTCTTCTCTTATAGCTATGTGCGTGGAACGAGAACTGGTAAGCGAATAATCGCTTTAGCTCAGGAAACAGAAACGTAAACTCAAGAAGGGTTAATTATCATTTATTTCTAAAAATAAGAATTTACAGACGGCTCCTGTCTTAGAGCGTACAGGAGCTCCACTTGGCTTGAACTCAAGAGTACTAAGCAATCAACTAACTAAAAGATACAGCGAAGCATCAAAATTCTAAGGAGGTGGCCCCTAAATTAATAAACGGCGAGCTATAAGGGCCCGAAATCGGCCGAGGTGTAATAGCTTAGAGAGCGTGTGCCGAAGGCAAAACGCGCGCTAGTCAGAACCTCTGGCTCTCTAACGAATTCACTGGAACTTCGATTTAAGTACCGCTCTTTCTTCGTTTGCAGTAACCGCGATTCTAAAAGCACATTCTGGTAGGAAATTGTAAGCTGAAATTAGAAGGGACAGGAAAGTAGCTTTAATTAACGATAACTGTTAAAAACTTAGGATAAACCTTACAAAGTAATTATTAGTTATTTTAAGTTAAAATACTAAACTTTTTGTACGGCTCCCTAATAGTTATACCAAACATTTATTCTTGCATTAAAAAATAAAGCGTAAAACATTTGACTTCCATGCGACAAATTTGATTGATATATACATAATCTCAAAATGTTAGATTTTTCCCATCTTCTTCGGCTTTTCTTGAAAGGCCGATTAAAAATGAATTAGAATATATGGAGATTGAATTTTTCTCCTTTAATGGCCATTCATTGATATTCTTTCAGGATTTTCTAATTCATTCCTTAATTTTGTCAAATAGGTTATGTCGAAAGAATTTTTTTCAAGAAGTTTATAAATTTTTATACCCTAAAACTAGAGTATTAATATTCAAACTCATTTGTATTACTTTAAATTCATTATCCAATAGTCACCAAAAATCAATAAAATAGAAATACTTTGAGATGTTAGTTCAACCAAATAATATTACAAGCTGGCTCTTCGTCAATACTGAAACTAACGAGTGTTTTCTAGAACACGGATTCTGTAAGATTCTATGAATAAGATCTCCTTTCTGAAAAATTTATATTGTTCAGCAATTTTCACGACAATCTGCATAGCAGCCTTGATTATTAACATGAGAAACATTTACGATAATTGAAATTTAGACGTACCGCCATTGAGCATGATCTATAATTTTAAAATTAATTACTGCGGTTAAGTTTTGTCGTTCGGAAGTTAAACATTGTTTTTATTAAATATAACTAGGGCCCAGGAGGACGGTACAAAATGTTACATTTTGTCGTTTTTAGAAAATTTTTATTTGACAACAGGAATATTTGCATCACTTAAAGCAATTCTGTAACTGAAAATATATGGCTATGTCCAACAGTTGGGAAAATAAAAGTCTTTTAAATACTTTGTGGATACAGTGTATAAACCTTATGAGCGAAACAACTGTGTTTAATTCCAAGTTTAGTGTTTTGGCAGAAAAAAAATTATCACTATCTTAGCGAGGAATATTTGCTGCAAGTCTGGTGAGTAAGCGATCCAATGAAGAAAAAATGCTTTAATGCATAAAAAAAGGTATTTAATTCTCTCATATTTATTCGTAATTATGAGGCAAATAAATGTAAATTATTTTTAATTAAAAGTTTCGGTTGAATATTTAAATATTGAATATTCAAATATTTTTATATTTGATACACATGAATTCCTTATTGATCAATGAATATGTTCCTTGGTGATAAAAACGTACATGAAATTTCTACAGACAAAACAAGAATTTTGCTTAAGATTAAATTGTATAGGTAGATAAAGAAGAAATTCACACCACGACACATTTTTTCTGCGGTTACAGTGGTGTATCTAAAACGGAAAATCTCAGATTTTGCCGCCTGAGGTGATCCCCGAATTTGCGAGTCCTCTTTGTATACAAACAAAAACTAAAAAGTGTGTCGAAATGATATATATCGGAAAAAAAGTCTTTTGTTAGCAAAAACATAAATGGCATTGTAGAGGTTCACGGGATTGGGGTCCAGTTGCTGTTATTTAAAAGGAAAGATTGCTTAAATGCACAATATACATTTATAGCAATTTTCATTCAAAATTTCTACGGAATAAAATAGCTATAACAAGCGTATGTAGCTGCTGAGATCCAGTGGTGATTTCTTTAAATATTTTAACTGAGTAAAAACTATTTTTATTCTCAATTTAATTAAATACAGTAATATGAAATCTCATTATTCTTCACTTGCCTCGATGATCCACGTTAGTGAAACCTATAAAATAATGTTTCTC